AAAGAATAAAATATCATAAATATTATTTAAATAAATTATTAAAAATATAAAATATAAAAACTGTACCGGTACCCTCTCAAATAAGATGGATACCATAAAATTTCTCTTCTTTTAATCCTTTTATTTCTTGTCCTGGATTTTTTTTACAAAATTATCTCTGTTTTTTTATGTAACAAAGTATTCATTCGATTTTATATATTTAATATCAAATTTATTTTACTGAAATTATTTTAAATTAAGCCTCTAAACATTATGTATTTCTTTTAAATGTTTATTTATGTCACTCATTGTTGAAATACATTTTTTATCCTCACAAAATTGAATACCTCCACTACATTAACATAAAAAAGATAATATTAAAAAATTAATATTATGGATTAAAAAGTTTTAAAAAATTTCAAGTATATAAACTAACATATTTATCTTAATTTATAGAGACTTAAAATGATTGAAAAAAAATAAATATAGAGACTAATTAAAAATATTTATTTAAACGATAAGGTGTAAAACATAAAATAAGTGAAACTATAAAGATTAAAAATATTTTAACATTTAATTATTTTTGTGAATTAATATAATTATGAATATTCTTACACTTTAAGTTAATTTTATTTATAAAATCCATTTATAAATAATAGCTTTTCACAAGTATTTTTTTAATCTTATATTCTTCAAGCTCTTATAATATTATATTTTTTATTAAACTTGAAAAATATGTAATTTAACATATTTTTGATTTTTAATTTAATGTGACCTGTTGCATGGGTAATAATTAATAAACTAGTTTTGTGATTATCCATATGGAGGCCACGTGTGGATTTGAAATACCATTGGCTCTCCTTTCATACTTTGGTTCCAAGCAGAACAGAACATCGCAGCTTATCCATCATCATCTGGATAAAGCGTCAGAAAACACACACACAAACGCCACTCTGAGGCATTTTTATACATTGTTCCACCTTAGACACTCTGCCACGCCTCTCTCTCATATCTGAATCTGATTCATGGCTTTAGCACTTTCCTCCACCTCATTGTCAACTCTTCCAAACAGGTCTTTAATCTTTATTATATTCCCTTCTGGCTCAACCACATGCACCATTTTATAAATTCTGTTGCTTCTTAAACTGCATGTACACTCTTTCCTTTTGGATGCAGAGAAATACGTCACAGGGTTTTCCCCGAAAGAACTCCCACATGCTTGAGTTTGACCAGAAGAACCCTTACAAATGCCACAAAAGGAGTGTCTTCTGTCTGTGAGCCACTTCCTCCGGATAGACCCTTGTGGTTCCCTGGTAGTTCACCTCCTGAGTGGCTTGATGGCAGGTTTCTTATGCAAATCATACTTTTAATCTGCATATCCAACCTTTTAATTTAATTAATTAACTGAGTGTAGAGGATTTTAACAATGATATCTAAATGTTATAGTGTAAGTATGAATTGTCATGTAATTGAAATTTATCCACTTTTGTCATACTTGTTTAAAACTTGTATCTAAAGACCAGACTCATTTCTAGTTTAGATGAGTATTCTTATCAGTGTCATTGAATTTTTTTTTTAATAATTAATTACGTGCTATGTGAAGTATTTACTAATTTAATTTATTGATGATTTTTCTCTGATAAAGAATCTAACTAAATATTTTAGTGAAACATCTTCTCTTAACTAGGTACTTTTTATTCATAAGACTGACATTTGAGATTTTAGTTAAAAAAATTAAGTCTGATTCTATTTGAACTAACGACATTCTAGTATTGTTTTCATTGTAAAAAAAAAAAGAAAAAAAGTGATTTCTAATTTAGATGATTATTTTTATTAGTGTCATTGTATTTTTTTTTTAATAATTATGTACTATGTGAAGTATTTAGTAATTTAGTTTATTGATTTTTTTTTTGCCAATTATGTATTTTTTATTCATAAAATTGAAATTTGAGACTTTACTTGAAAAAAGTAAGTCGACATTTTAGTATTGTTTTCATTGTATGAAGAAAATGGAAAGAAAAAAAAGTGTGATTTCATTGTAAATAATTTAGTGTAAGAGTATGTTTGAATTTACATCAATTTTGATTAGATGAAGTAATAATTCGTTGAAATTTCTGCCTATTGCAGTCTTCCCGGTGATTTCGGTTTTGACCCTCTTGGATTAGGTATACAAGTGTTGGTTTTACACTTTTACTATGTAGTTCAAAACGGTTGAGTGTATGTAGTTGTGTGTGGTTCACCAACAGCCTATGTGGTGTTTTGTTTTGATCAGGGTCTGATCCAGAGTTGCTAAAGTGGTTTGCTCAAGCAGAGCTAATGCATGCAAGATGGGCAATGCTTGCGGTGTTTGGGATTCTCGTTCCGGAATTGCTTGAAAAGATTGGTTATGTTGAGAATTTCAATTGGTACGATGCTGGTGCGCGAGAGTATTTCACAGACCCTACTACCCTGTTCGTTGTGCAGATGGGCCTCATGGGCTGGGTGGAGGGTCGGAGATGGGCCGATATGGTTAACCCAGGGAGTGTTGACATTCAGCCCAAACTGCCACACCTTACCAACCCAAAGCCCGATGTTGGCTACCCCGGTGGGCTTTGGTTTGACCCAATGATGTGGGGGCGTGGGTCGCCCGAGCCAGTGATGGTGTTGAGGACCAAGGAGATCAAGAATGGTCGACTTGCAATGCTGGCTTTTGTTGGCTTCTGGTTCCAAGCTATTTACACTGGGGAAGGACCCATTGAAAATTTGATGGCACACATTGCTGATCCTGGTCACTGCAACATTTTCTCGGTAATTTTTTTCTTGCTTCATTTGTTCTACTTAAATTTATATATTCTCTTTTATTTAATTTAATTTTTCACTTCGAGATAATCAGTATAATAAGTCTAAATTGAAGGTCATCATCCTAGGTTATCAAAATGAAATTTGCTTCCTTTGATTCTGCAGGCTTTTACGTCGCGGTAGAGCATAGCTATATATGGTTTGAAGAAAAGAAGATATATATGCATCCGCAATGAATATTATTGCATTATACTGCACCAGCAATGTCCATTATTTACATTAAATATGTACTTTATTTCCTAATCCGAGCTTTTCAATTGGCACGAGGTTTAATTTTGGTCCTTTTAAACAAAATGAAATTACTATTACTTAGGGAAAATTTTCGTGCATGGCATGGATCATTTTCTTTGGAACAGTGGAGCTCCAATGTAATGAAATTCTAGGTTGCATTAACTAGCCAAGCTCATGATAAGTTGAAATGTAAGAATTGACGATTACATTTATAACGATTAGAACTTGTCAAGTGATTAGTTTAAAGAAACACGTATTGCCCCCAATTAGTTATAAAAACAAAATAGTAATTTTATTTTGTTATTAAAAAGAAAGATTGATTTGTAAATTAATTGTTGGATAATAGAGATGTTTGGAGCATAGTAAGGAGTCCACGGTTGTTAATGAATGGGAAGCCGAAATGCATGCGACATGTGTTGCATGGGGTTGGCAAAAACAGTATCTATGAAGTCCAAAAGAATCGGAAGCAAGGAAAGGAGAAGGACGTGATCTATTCTTAGAATCCGACGGCATTTGTGGCAAATAACACCTTCATTCTGACGCACTAACAAAGTTTGCCTTTCCCCACAGAACAACCTTAACCTCCACGAGCGGCGGTCCATTATTCCTCCAAGCACCCAATGGCCGCTGTTCGCGTCCTCTTCTGCTTCCTCTTGTTGGTTTTGTTCTCCCTCTCTTCCGCCAGCGAAACCCAATCCCTCCTCCGCCTCAAGCAGTCCCTCACCAACGCCGACACCGCCCTCTCCTCCTGGATCCCCAACGTCTCCCCCTGCTCCGGCACATGGACCGGCGTCGTCTGCTTCAACAACGTCGTAACGGGTCTCCACCTCTCCCACCTGGGCCTCTCCGGCCCAATCGACGTCCAAGCCCTCTCCGAGATCCAGGGCCTCCGCACCCTCAGCTTCGTCAACAACTCCTTCACCGGCCCAATCCCCGAGTTCCACAAACTCGGCGCCATCAAGTCCCTCCTCCTAACCCAAAACCAATTCTCCGGCCCCATCCACTCCGACTACTTCAACTCATTAAACTCCCTCAAGAAAATATGGCTCTCCGCAAACAACTTCTCCGGCGAGATCCCCCATTCCCTAACCGAACTCGACCTCCTCAAAGAGCTCCACCTCGAAAACAACGCCTTCACGGGCCCAGTCCCCAACTTCCCGCAGGACCTCAAATCGTTGGACCTCTCCAATAACAACCTCCAAGGCCCAATCCCGGGGAGCCTCGCCAAATTCAACGCCGCCTCGTTCGTGGGAAACGCGGCCCTCTGCGGGAAGCCGTTAGACAAACCCTGCGACGCTTCCTCTTCCTATCCGCTCCCGGGGAGAGCGAACGCCGCCGAGGACGGCTACGGCTACGGCTCCGGCTGGGCGAAGAAGGTCATCATTGTGCTGCTGGTGGCGGTGGTCGCCGCGGTGCTGTTTCTTTTCACCACGTCGCGGCGGCGGAGGGAGGACGGGGATTTCCGCGCGGTGAGAAGGAGCAGCAGCGCGGAGGAGGTGGTGGAGGTGCAGGTGCCGAGCGTGAGAGGGGAGAGGAAGGGGGAGCCTCCGAAGAGGGCGGACATCGTGATGGTGAACGACGAGAGGGGCGTGTTCGGGTTACAGGATCTGATGAAGGCGGCGGCGGAGGTGCTCGGGAACGGTGGCCTGGGGTCGGCGTACAAGGCGGCGATGACGAGTGGGTTGTGCGTGGTGGTGAAGAGGATGAGGGAGATGAATAAGATCGGGAAGGACGTGTTTGACGCTGAGATGAGGCAGTTTGGGAGGATACGACACCGTAACGTGCTCACGCCTCTCGCTTACCATTACCGCAGGGAGGAGAAGCTCATCATCGCCGAGTACATGCCCAAAGGAAGCTTGTTCTACGTCCTGCATGGTACCTATCACACTTTCTTTCAACACATATACATTCTCTTATGATGACAATGACAAGGAACGTGTTATGCATGATTACGTTTTCTCAGGTGATAGAGGAACATCTCATTCCGAACTCAACTGGCCTACCCGTTTGAAGATAGTTAAGGGAATTGCAAGAGGCTTGGGCTTCCTCTACACTGAATTTTCCACCTACGACCTGCCTCATGGGAACCTCAAGTCTAGCAATGTTCTACTAAGCGAGGATTACGAGCCTCTCTTGAGTGACTACGCCTTTCAACCACTAATCAACCCTAGCGTTGCTGTGCAGACATTGTTTGCCTTCAAATCCCCGGATTATGTGCAAAACCAGAAGGTTTCACAGAAGACTGATGTCTATTGCCTTGGAATCATCATTCTCGAAATCGTCACGGGGAAGTTCCCTGCTCAATATCACAGCAACGGCAAGGGTGGCACCGATGTTGTGCAAATGGTCTCCACTGCAATTTCTGAGAATAGAGAAGCTGAGGTGATTGATCCCGAGTTGGAAAACAACACAAGTTCGCGCAAGAACATGCTGCAACTTCTCCATATTGGGGCTGATTGCACCCAAAGCGACCCCGGAGAAAGACTAAAAATGAAGGAAGCTATTACAAGGATAGAGGAGGTACGGGTTTAAAGATTAAGTCAATGAGCTAGCTTAGTTCAAGTTTCTTTCGCAGGCCTTGGAATGGACATATTCTTGATCCAACGCTTGGCCATTTTCATTGATGATCTTTTGAGAACAAAGTAGTGAGCACTAAGCAGTCATTTTGTGCGAGAAAACACAGCAGAGAAGAATGGAGGATATATAGAACGGTAGAAGGGGAGAAAGATTGGATAGCTTCATAAACCAGTTTGGTTTGTGAGAATGGTATTATGTTGTTTTTGGAACTTGATTGCTTGGAGCGTTTCTCATACTTTAATTTTGTCCTTTAGAAAGGGAAAAATGTCGAAAGTACAAGCTTTAGCCTCTTCATGCTGATAGCGGCCCTCGCAAGGATATGCAACTCATGAAAGAAAACCGTTGTAGGACAGCATCCCTTAAATTTGTGAAGAATTAAATTTTAGTGGTGAAAAGATAATACAAGGGCTTTTTTTTTCTTCTAGTTTTCGTCTTACTATGCCTATCATACACAGGAGATTGTTTCTATTTTCTAACTCACTCCATTCCCCGTTCAACATGTAAAACTATTATTGTATATATATTAGTCATCAATATCAGTCTTAAACAGGAGACTGCTTTATGAAATGCCCCATTTCCAAGTCTTTTATTATTATTATTATTATTATTATTATTATTATTATTGTTTTTGTTTTGGCTTCATTATATATTAATAGCGCAAGGAGGAGCATTGCAACTTTTCTTTGGAACAACAATAAAAAGAAGAGCATATACAAGAATGAGAAAACTGAACAAGATGGCTGAAGGGATCTTGCTAGGGGTGGGCAAAACGAACTGGGCAAAACGAACTGAACTGAACTGAACTTATAAAAACTATACTGAACTTAAAAGTAGTTCATATGAACTGAACTAAACTAAATATTAGTTCAGACGAACTGAACTGAACTATTCTTTTGTGTCATTGAACTGAACTGAACTATACTATAAAAACTTGAACTGAACTGCAATTTAAACTGCACTAAACTGTTATGATATTTTGAATTGAACAATTTTGACTCATTGATCTATCAAAATAGGACACATTTGTCAACTTTACTTTATTTTCCATTTTATTTAAATTTTTCAAAGGAAAAAAATATAAAATTAAGTCAAACAAACTCAGTGAATTTTAAGCCTAAAAATAAGTAGTTCAACATAGCTCAATTGATCCGTTAAGTTCAACAAAATTGATACAATTTTTTTTCAAATCACTTTTTTTCTAAAATTTTGGTTATTAAACTATCGAGTTAATCTATTAAGACATAACATGTTAAACACATTTTATTTTTATTTTTTTATAAAAATAGTTCAATTTTTATAATTCAGTTCAGTTTTTATAGTTCAGTACAGTTCAACTTTACAACAGTTCAGTTCAATTCAGTTTTTTTTTAAACAGTTCAGTTCAGTTTTTTTTACAAACAGTTCAGTTTTTTATAGTACAGTTCACCACCAGTTCAGTTCAGTTCAGTTTAGTTTTTTTTGCCCACCCCTAGATCTTGCCTCTCACGTGCCACAATTCTGTAGCATCAACTCACAGAAATTTAAACTAAAGGAAAAGAAAACTAACATAAATTTGAAAATAAATCATTTTTCACAAGGATATCGTAATAAACCTTTTTTTGGTATAATCATATTTCAGTTTAAGAACATCTCTTAACTCTAAAATATTTTTTTGTGTGACAAAATAAGACTATGACATAAAATATCTGTCACTAAAAGTATCATCAGAAAAATTGACTTTAATCACAAAGTGACTAGAACTTTTTTATTTACTTATTTTGCATTTAAATTAAATGAAAATAACTAAGCCAAAATTTTAATTGATATTGTCAAAAAAATTTCATCATTAAAATTTCCAAGTTTGCTTCTCAGACTTTAAAATATTCATTGCATAAATGTTGATAGTGAATAAGAAAATAGTTTTTTTTTTTCTCTTTTAAGATTGTTGGATATAAAAATACACATGTAAATGAAAATTCTATTTATCAATAAAGTCATTATCAACAATGGAATAAATACTTCAAATACAAAACGAGCAATCAATAACAAATAATTAAATACTAAGAGTAAATAAAAATTAGGAAAAATTGTTTGTATGTTGTGAAAGAACTAAGGAATATCGTTCCAAAAATACTTAATAGCCCTAAAATTAATTTTAGAGAGTGATAACTCTCACTGTTGTGGATATTATTTTTCCTCGTGCACAATACTCATAGAGAACCTCCTTATAGCTCACTAAAATCATGAAGAAACCGAATATGCATTGTACCACAACACTTGCGCTAACATGTAGCAACGGAAACACAATGTTAGGAAGCTACTATGAAATTAGGGTTCGAGCTACTAAGACATATAAAACTAAAAAAATAAAAGATTTCATTCATATCAAACTATTCAACTAATACATTTAAATAAATGATAGCTAGTTGGGTCAAAACATATACTAGGCCCTTTAGGGAAAATGGAAAATAACTAGTTTAAAATATTATAGAGATAAAAGAACCTCAACACATCAATATAAGTCTTTTAACCAATATAGGCTAGATTCCATGTGAGTGGATAATTAGTTCAGAGGGTCCCAAAGTAGCATTACTTGGAATAGGAAGGGGTAACATAGTATTGATAAAAGGCCCAATTGGGGGGCCCATTTAAGGGTTTATGGTTTAAGGTTTGGCATGGCAGGTTTAGGGGTGAGGGTGGGGTGAGGGGGTCACGTGGCATGGCAGGTGGGGAAATTGAATGTGAGGCAGTTGAGGGTCGTTGGATAAGATTTGAAGGCAAATCAGATGGTAGAGGAGTGTTTAAGGGGTTTGATGTGGGAATTGACATTTGGGTAATATGAGGGGGTTCAAAAGTAGAGGAGATAGAAAGGAGAACAAAGGGGGGCAATGCTGTAGAAACTAGAGGGTCACGATAGTATTGTCGTAGAGTGGGACCATGATAAGGGTTGAGAAGTGAAACATGTACCACAAAGTGGGTGTGCGAGTGTGGCGGAATCACAAGGTCATACGCTATTGCCCTTATATGACGACGAATAACAAAAGGCCCATAGTAGTGCTTTATGAGCTTAAGCAACAACTAACAAGCCATAGAAGACTAATAATGGTGTTGAAGACAAAGCCACACCCATTTGCCTGTTGAGAAGGTACAATTGCTTCAATGCTGGTTTGCCTGAGCTTGCATGCATTGTCAAGTGCGTTGGAGGTTCATTTTAAGTGTTTGTGAAACCTCGTGGCGTTCTTGTAAGGAGCCTTGGGCAATGGCTAGTTCTGTAGGTCCAAGAATAAAATTAGGGGTTGAAAGTGGGGTGAGACCATATAAGGCGTGGAAAGGAGTCATATCGGTCATCGTGTGAAAGTTGGTATTGTGCCAAAATCCAACAAGATGAAGATAGTAGTACTAGTGGTGGGGGTGGCCTGAAATGAAACAACGTAAGTATGGTTCCAAGGAATGATCTAACCTCTGTCTGACCATCTATTTTTGGATGATACACTATGTTGTACTAAGAGTGGTGCCCCCTAAAGACGAAACAAATCCTTCCAAAAGGTGTGGAGGAATAATGAATCTCGATTAGAGGTGATTCATTTGGGAATTCCATGAAGTCTACAAATTTCAATCGAGAAGTGCATAGCAAGATCCTTTGTAGTATAGTGGGTGGGGAGGGCAAGAAAATGCACAAATTTTGTAAGCCTATTGCAAATTACGTAGGTGATAGTGTGGTCCAAGGAGTTGGGCAAGTGGGTCATGAAATCCATGGTAAGTTATTTCCAAACATGCTTTAGAACTAGGAGGGGTTGTAGTAGCCTTTGTTCTTGTTTTTTTTTTTTTTTTGATGAATTTATTTATTTTGATGACAACCTTGACAACCTCTAATAAAAGCTTTTGTTTCCTTGACAATAGAAGAAGGCAATCAAGCATACCAAGGTGGGCTTCAAACCAAAGTGGCTCTCCATAGTTGTTGAATGGTATTCTAATAACAAGGAGGGGCATAGATTCAGGATATCAAGGATGTATAACCTTTGATGAAAATACAGAAAGTCATTAGAGACATGGTAAACACCTTGCATGGTCAGGTCAGATTGGGCCCTTTGTAGAAAAGCAATCCCCTCTGGGTGGTCAACATAATATGTGTAGATATGATCAAGTAAGAGGGGAACTGGTGATGAAGTAATTGAATAAAATAGTAGATTGTTAGAGAATTGGTGCAACAAAGAGTCAACCACTATGTTCAACTTGCCCCAAATTTATAAAATATATCAAAGCTATACCCTTGGAGTTTACATGCCCATCTCTATTGTTTTGGTGTGTGCGTTGTTTGATTCATTAAACTATTTACTCTTTTGATTTGTATAAATGTGAAAATGGCTCCCAATGAGGTATTGACGCCATTCTTTTATGGCTTATGTAATAGCGTAAAGCTCCCGAGTTAAAACTGAAGAAGCTTGAAGGCGAGGGCACATTTTCTTACTAAAGAAGGAAAAAAGGTTCCCTTTTTGTGACAAAATAACTCTAATAGAAATAGCTAAAGAATCACTTTCAACCACGAAGGTTTCAACAAATTCTAGCAACAAAAGAATCGGGGCAACAAAAATTTTATGCTTTAAAGATGTAAAGGCTAACTCAGCCTCAATTGTCCACAAAAAGTTAGTGAATCTCAATAAATTGGTGAGGGGAGAGACGAGTGTGGCATATTGATGTATGAATTTGTGGTAAAAACCTGAGACCTAAATAACCACATAAAGTCGTGAGAGAATGTGGCGTAAACCAATCATCGATTTCCTTTAATTTCTTAGGGTCTGGGGTTATATGTTGAGTAGAAAAAACATGACCTAAATAGGTAATTGAGTGCACTGCAAACACACACTTGGAAAGCTTGGAAAAAAATTGATTAGAAACTAATAGGTCAGAAATGATTTACAAATGATGTACATGATCCACATATGAAAGGCTAAACACCAAGATATCGTCAAAGAAAACAAGAACAATCTTGCACAAATAGGGTCATAGCAAGTTATTCATAGCATACTAGAAGGTGGATGGAGGCATTTGTGAGGCCAAATGGCATCACCAATAATTCATAATGCCCATCACATGTACAAAATGTTGTCTTGTGAGTATCTTCTGCCACTACATAGATTTGGTGGTAACTCAAGCGAAGGTCTAATTTAGTAAAAATATCAGTAGAACCCAACTCATCTAGTAGTTCCTCAACAATAGGGATAAGGAAATGATCCTTTATCTTGATAGTGTTAATACCATCTTTCTTTTGGAGTAAGAGAATCGGTGGGGAGAAAGGACTATGACTAGGGGTGATAAGGCCTTGTTGAAGAAGATCTTGGATAATATGGCTCATGGCTTCCTTTTAAGAGTGGGGGTAACGTTAGGGTTTTACATTGATAGATGGGGTATTAGGGTAAGGAGTAATGTGATGGTTATAAGGTTGAGATGGGGGACGATCAGAAAGGGTTTGGAAGATGGAGGAATAATAGGAAATAAGTGTTTGGATTTCAGGATTAAGTGTTTGGATTAAGGAGGAAATTGGATTATTAGACTCAATGGGATGTAGGGATAGGAGGTGATAGGAAGCAATGGAATTATGAGTGACTAGGTGGCATATGTGGTAAAAGGTGAAGAGGAAAGTTGATGGGGTAGAGTCACCCTAAATGGTGATAAGTGTATTATCATGGTTAAAATAGATGCTAGGAGTAGTAAAGTCAATAGTTAAAGGCCTGAGAGTGTGAAACCACTCCATCCCTAAAACAATATCAACCCTTTCAATTGGCATTAAATAAAAGGGAATATAAAAAACATGGCTCTGCACTGAAATAGGAACTTGTTCACAAAGATAGCTGCATTCAAGGTGTTGACCGTTTCCAACCATAACAGAAAATTTAGGGGTATTTGTGATAGGTAATTGGAGGTAGGAAACTATGCGACGTTGGATTATGTTATTAGAGCTCCCTATCTCAATGAGGACACAAATAGTAGATTGTGTAAACGACCTTGGAATTAGAGGTTTTTTGGAGAAGGGTGACTCGTAATGGCTTGGAAGGATAGGTGAAAATGAATGGTTTCAAAAGAACTTTGGCCCAAAAGGGGATCAGTGTCCTCATCCACAAGTAACAACAAGAAATAACTTGTAAAGCATTTTTGAGCTGGAAAGAATTTTTCATCACAATTATAACAAAGATCTTAAGCCCTACGTTCTTACATTCAGGTAGTGGGGAGATGTTTAATGGGCAACTGATTAGGTTTTGTAAGTGTGGGGTTAGAAGGGTTAAGATGGGTAAGATTTGGGGTTGGGTTGTGAGGGTTTGTGGAATAATTGGTATGACTAGTTTTAGGTTAGGAATCTTTGAATTTACATTCAATCAGCTTGGTTAAACCAATGGCTTGTGAGACAAAATAGGGTAGAAAAATAACAATCTCATGACGAATCTTAAGCAAGAAACCATAAATAAAAATCAAACAAAGAGGTTTTCACTAGTTAAGTCGTAGGTGCGCTTGCAAATTTTTTTGAACCTAGCTCAGTACTCCACCACAAAACCATATTGTTTGAGTTTAAACAACTCCCCTTGATGATTCTCATACGAGGAGGGCCTAAAATAGAGTTCCAAGACACATGTAAAGGATTACCAATCTACCAGATATTGATTATGATACATCCATTTGTACTAGTTGAGTGCCTCACCTTTCATGTAAAATGCAACCAATTGGACTCGTTTCCAGAGGAATCTGGTATAGGAGAAAAATTGTTCGACCTAGAAGAGCCAATCTAGAGGTTCAGAATTGTCAAATAGGGAAAGTTATAGTTTTGGTGGTTGTATGGTTTTCATGGTTGGTTAATGATGGGATGGAAATGGGAATCCAAGAGGAGAAAAAAGAAGGTGGTTGAGAAAAGGGTAGGGTCATATTATGAGAGTTTGTGTTGGGTTACGAGGAGGGGAAAACATGTTGGGTTAGGTGGTGGTTTGGTGTGCAAGGGAAAAAGTTGTGCTAAGTTAGGAGGAGATAGCTTGTGGGAAAGGTAAGGTAAAATTAAGGTGTATAGTATTTGGTTGGGAAAAAGGTAAGGAAATGCCTAGGGGGAAGAGATGCATGGAGTGATGTAGAAAATAGGGTGTCCCGTGTGAAATGAAAAATATCAAAAGGGATGTTAGTCGAATGGAATTTGATAAAAAAGGGTGTGAATCCAAGGGGGTATGGTATAAGTGGAGTTATCGAAATAGTAGGGTTGAGATTGGAAGCAATTTGGGGCTTAATAATCATGGTTGTCAATTTCTCCATGACTACATTTAGGGATTGTTGCATGACTTTTTTTTGACAAGATGATAGCTAGTTGACCAGAACATATATTGGGCCCTTTAGAAAAAAAAAACTAATTTAAAATATTGAAGAGATAAAAGAATCTTAACACATCACATCAATAGAAACCTTTTAACCAATATAAGAAGTCTGTTAACTAATATAGGCTAGATGCCATGCGTGTGGGCCTAACACACAATGTGCACTTTGCACAAAAAATGCAACGTCCAACAACCAAAAGTATAACTTACAAAAAATAACATAAAACAATAACAAAAGATGGTTAAATAGATTTAAAAAAATAATTAAATAAAAACAAAGTCAAGACTTGGTCTATGATAATAGAAAGTAGACGGGTGCTTGTAACAAAAGTTAAATAAATAATAACTAAAATATGAATTAAACTTAAATTATAACATTCAACATTTAGAAAAAAAATCAAAATTTTATCTAATTTAAATTAAAAAATATCATTCTTCATTCATTTTATCCCTCACTCAAATCAATATTATGAAGCTGACTAGTCAACTGGATAATAGTGGTCACCTTAAAATATATTCTACTTCATCCCCCCAATTTTCCAACCCTCCAACAAACACTCCACACATACATGCATAGCTACTACTCCTTGCCTTGCTTCCTTATTAGCTAATGAAAAATCTAGGTAGTTGAAAAACCAAAATTTGTCCCTTTTGTAAGCAAAAGAGAATACATTACCAAAGTGCTTAAGATTGCACTTTCTAATGTAATTACTTTATGTGTTCTTTCTCATCACATAAAATCATCTATGTTTCTTATTTTTCTCTATGCCGAGGTTGACCTGACCACTAAAAATATCTATAGAATGGCGGTAGATGGTAATATTGTGCAGATAAACACAGATGAGAACACTTGTATTAGAATCATGATAGCTAATGAATATGATTTAAGAAGAGCAATAATTGAAATATGAAGATGCTAAAAGTATTTTGATTATGAGTTATCTCTCCAGGAAAGTGTTGTTGTTTTAAGAACTTAATAAGTCCATACAATAACTTCAATTACTAGAACTAATGCTAATAACTTGAGACTGTTATAAACAATTAAAGTTCTTATAACATGGAATAACACATATTCTTAGAAGCACTACCCAACTTTATTTGTTGAATATTGAAACAGTTATATTGCAAGGTGCTTATTAGGCTGACCTTAAATCATTTTTAACACTCATAGTAGTGTATGAGTTTCTACACTGTAGATTTGTTACCTTCACTATAACTTCAATTTTAAAATTTGTGACTTTTGGCTCTAGTTTTTGGAAAGTTATCTTTGGTTGTATATCACACACACTTGTGATTCAATTATGTAGCCCAATGATCTATGTACATTCTTACACTATCCGTTTTACCTTCACCCAAGTGATGTTTACTTCAAGTCTTCCAATCATTTCAATGTCTTGATACGTACCAAGGATGAAATATAAAATGAAGCCCAATAGAAGAAAAGGTGGAGCAGAAGATATCAATAATCATTTGTTGTCCGATTATCTAACCATTTTAGAAAATTGCTTTTTGAACACCACTTTACGTACCAAGGATGCAAGCACATTGTGATAATATGCATGTAACTATATAAAAACTAGGATATATTGAACTTTAATGGGAAAAAAAAGCTTCCAAAATTTCGATGACTCAATTTTTGGATAAACCATCAGGCAAAACATGTTTAGATTATCAACCTTGGTCTTAAATTTTCTTCCATGCTCGGAAAATTCATCTTTGTAATGCCAAACTAATGGTGTTGGATTGAAACAAGTGCCCACAGGATCTTTCTTTATTTCTACACCAGAACATGTATGAGCCATAAGGTAACTAGAAAGAAAAACAAAGTTAGAAATGAACTGGGAAAATAAGGTTTTATACAGCTGAAACTTGTATCCACAATAAGGAGAGGAGTAATGGGTACCTTTTTTTGTGCTCATAAGTACTCATACAATTGTGTTACTTTCTAGAAATTGGCTTTCGGGTTAAATTTCCAACTTTTCTAGAAATTAAATTTGAGAATATATTGAAAAAATTTAATTATTTTAGAATTCAATTTCCAATAAAAAGGATGTTTCAAAAAAAACATTATAAAGGAGAGTGTATTAGTAGTAAAAAAAAAGTCTAAATAATTATCTTTTGGTATTCATTAGTCCCTAGTGGCCCAAAATGAATTATTTTAATATAGCGATCCATGACACATTGCTTACATCCATGCAATCACATGGGAACTAAAGAGAGAAAATTCCATATAAATCCCAAAATCCTATATTTTGTTTGAAAATATATTTATTTGAATGCAAATCTATAAATTTTAAAAGGAGTGAAACAAGATTTAAATATTAAATTTTTTTTATTTGTTTAAGAAAAATAATATAAAAAAGTATAAACTTCACATGCAAAATTATTTCTCCTTAATAGGAACTAGGAGGAAAATGATGTAATATATATATATATATATATATATGGTAATGATCGGTTTAGGTTAAGACAAGACATAACCTGTGTAAGGTTAGAACCAACCATCTACCTATAACTTCAAGCAAACATTAGGAAAGACTTTAATCAGCCACCATCTCGAAGATTTGTTTTCTGAGGATATTTTTATCAAAGACAAAATTTCAAAGAAAAAAATATCACACATAAATACAAAGTTTCAAACCACTAAGAAGCTTTTCTCTGTTAAATTTATTACACAACGTTACAACCTAGAACTGACATGAGAAACACTTAAACTAAGCAACTAAGGCACTTGATAACTAAATCAAACATACAATAACAGCTTAGACCGAATGGCTTGGTAACTTCTTGTTGCATAAACATAAACTAAAAACAATAATAGTATTCATTAGAAAGCATCGAAAATGATCATTGCCAATGAAATCCTCTTCCCCTATATTTGATTTTCTAAAACCAAAAAGGGCTCACTAACATGCCCTCAAATGCATTAGCACAAAATCCACATGCAAAAAAAGGGCATCATAATTGTTAGTTGCTCTCCAGAGAAGCCAAAAGGTGATTTTCTTTTTTTACCTTTGCTATTCCAACTTGAGCCACAACTACATTAAAATTTATGGATGGGACCAGCTTGGTTATTGAAATGGCAGGAGGTTCTAGTCAAAATCAAGGAACTCCATCCTTTTTCTCATGGTGCCCTTTAGATCAGTAGCATCCTTTTCCGCTTTTTGAGCCTAAACATTGAAACAAGTGAAATCAAATTAACTATATAGAACAATATGAACAAATCACCACCACATGATTTGAAAATAGAAGAGCACAAAGGAACTATTTTTTTTTTTTCTATTAGGGGGATATTTTGGTCACTAAACGGGTGAGGGAAGAATTAAAGGCAAAATCGATAAAAAAGACAACGATAGAAATTATAGTATAAAAAATTAAAATTTAAAAGTAATGCATTGAGGGCTACACCCTATCATTTCCCCCAATTTTTCAAACAAATGAACTAATAAAAAAATCAAAGGAAGAAATCGAACTCATGATTCTAGTATAAATAAATTGTAACTAGGAATTTTGAATCATGAATGGAAACTAATATTTCTATTGTATATATGATATTGTTAGCAAAACATCTAAGTGCTTCCACTTCCTTTTTTTCAGAACAAAAGGCTAATTCATTATGGACATAATATGAAATAGGCGGGGTAGACAATCCTCCCAACTCCCTTTGCATGTTAGACATAGAAATGACCTTAACACTTGCTTGTATAAAACCAAAAGTTAAGGTTCTGATTTGTTTTAGAAAATATTTCTTGTACTCAACAATTACAAAAATATATTATTTCCACTTTTTTCATTTTTTCAGATATTTGTTTAAGAAATTGTGAGAACCAAATGAGTTTCTTTTATCATTTCCGATACAATCTTTTTAGAATAGAAAACAATGTAAAAATATGATAACATTTATGTAATTATTTAGAGAAATGGAAAATGAGAACATGTTTTCTCAAACCAAACAAATCCCTCGAAAACACACTTGCCATATAAAAGTAACTTTAGACCCAAATGATGTTACTTTTTGAAAATATTTACCAAATAATTATTTTTGAACATTTTAACATTGCAGCATTTACCATGTTGGATTTATTTCTTGGTTTGACCACATGGAAATCACCAAATGGATTAGTGAGTTTTGAATGCAAAATGCCGGTATTACTAAGGACTTCCCACCATCCAAATTATCTTCACATACAATGTCTTACAAGGAAGATTTTTTTAATTCTTTTCTCTGCCATTCCTATTTTATTGTGAATGGAAAAATATCTTCAAATAATATAGCATAAAATAAGTTTGGCGCTTCCCACTAATGTTATCCTATTTATTAGTCTTGCAATATTTGGTTCCCGTTTCCTAGAACACAACACATACATAAAGAGAATGACCTTGGTTAACTTATTTGCATAAATCTAGTTTGTTAAGGACATGGACATCCACCAACTGAGCTTGAGCTTAGGTGGTATAGGCATAGTTACTAAGTAATGCAATACTCTATGGTATGTGGTATGGTGTACAGGCACACATTCCATTCAAATTATGTTCTCAAGACCTTTGCACAAGTACCACATAGAAATAGGGTTTTAGTTTTCAGGTTTGTTAAGCAAATCTAGTAACTATACATAGGGTCAGCGTGATGTTGGGGAAGGGAGGTTAGATTGTAGATCAGTACAATGTAAAGCGGCAATAAAAATCTTATTGACCTTCCTTTTTCTAATAATGGTAGGTTGGTCATTTTTTCTTGGTCGCTGGCTCCTTTGTTGTTAGTGTTCCTCGTTTACAAAGATAATGGTAATAATTCATCATTTGAAAATGCCTAAGTACAATATTACATATGGTTTTGGAGGATGTATACAGGGCCTATTCAGAATCATTAATGGTCCATCAATTAATGAGCCATCTTGATGATTTTGGAAAGGCACCAATGGAGAATGAAGATTGCATTTGGTTGGTCCACAACATGTATAAGTAGATTTTTTTTTTGTTATTTTACATTTCCCACCATGATGTGGATATGGTTAGCATCAAATATTTGTCTTAATGCCAAAGGTAGGTGGTGCTATTTAAAATTCTACCGAGATGAATAACTAACAAAGATTAACTAGATGATTGTAACAAACATTCAAGGATGGAGTTGATTCCTAGACATTTTGAATTCTTAGAAACTTCATTTTCTATTGAGAATCATGAGAAACCAAAGAACTTTAGTATGGAAAAAGAAAATCTATTGGTCTTAGCTAATCATGTTAATTGTTCTCCTTTGACTTATGAGGAACCTACAAAAGTGCAGCTGGTGAATTTGAAATATGTGGCAAGTGAAGTTGTACTTTACCAAAGATTAGGAGAAGAAAAAAAGGGGGCGGGGGGTTGCAAAAATACTACCAACAACTTGAATATTGAAAAGCACCAGTCTAATTGGTATTTTAACACTGGAAAAGAGATGGAATCATAGTGACTAGTAGTTTTTAAAACAAACCAAAATCAAAGAAATTACATTATTTGGGTCACTTAGCCATGTCCTCACACTGTAGCCCAGCAAGGTAAAAGGTTTCTAACACATCATCTATAAGAGTTGTTTGTGTACATGAATTAATTGATCCATGTGTACTCAAAATCATCATGCTAAAATATGACTATTTGAGCGATAATTATCTGAATTTAATTATAATCTAGTTGATGAACTTACCTTTCTTATGTCAGCCTCTGACACAGAAGTCATATGATGTGGAAGCTCCTCCTTTCCCAAGTCCTATACCATCGATACAAGATTGAATAATTATTTAGACTCCTTTGGGATGTAATCAATTATGTCAAATGATATGAGATGATCAAGAACACATCATACCAGCTCTCCAATTAAGACAACATTTTCCCCACGAGTTACATATAAGCCTAAAGGGACATCACAATAAATATCACTAACAATTACTCTTTCACAAGCACCTTCAAGAACAACGTTAGCTGTATGTGGTCATTACATATCATTATTAGTTATTATTAGATGAAAATAACAATACTAAAAATAATGTTATCATTCGCATATGGAATCCGTGGTAGAAAACCAAAAAATCTATACAACATGGAAGATGGCATCATGGGCAACTAGTAGAAGCATGGTGGATGAATTAAAAATAATACATATATAATACAAAAAAATATGTTAAATGAACCAAATAATAAAAAGCTAATAACATATATAAAGATTAGAAAATTAGAAATATATTCTATGAAACAAAATTCATCATAGTCTAATAGCATAAGCATAAAATCTCACACCACTAACAAGAAAGATAAAAGCTCCACAACTAAAAAGTATAGAGAAAAAAAAGATTAAGAAAACAAAAGAAAAGGCAAAGAAAAGATGGTCACAAAAAATGAATAAAAAATATAGATGAAAAAACCAACATAAACAAAATAAAGGGAGGAAAAAAAGAAGGAGAAAAAATTGAACAATAAAGGGAAGAAAAATAGGGAAAAAAATGTAAAGATTGAAGAAAAAAGAGCAGATGAAGAAGAATAGAGAAATGTTTTAAAAACTCTATTTGAAACACTTCAAAAAATGATTGAAAAAAAGTTCCAGATCTGCAATGGTTGCTACGAACCAAAATGGCACCAGGAAATGGTGACACACAAAGCAATGATGGCCACAAAACGTGAATTGGTGAAAAGAACCACAAAGCAAGAATCAGGTGGTAGTGGGTTTCAAAATTGTCACAGTATTCCTTTATGGTGGTACCATAACTTCCATTTAACATCTATGATTAATGATAATAGTGACATCATCAAGTAGAATGCACGAAGGATTGATACTTACCAAATTGATCAAACGAGCGTAATAACCCCAAAAGTTTTCGACCATCTTGCAACATGACAACTACTTTTTCTGTGAAAAAAAAAAATACTTTAGAAGAAAGTCTTAATTATGAGAAACCATATCCCATCATTCAGTTGAATTATTTGAATCCTCACATTAATTGAAACTAAGTATATAAGAAGTCATAATGTCACAACAAAAAATGCCAGATAAAAAGCATGAAAATATATAGGTGAGGAAAAAAAAGGGTGACCGACTTCCAATGTTTTTCTGTGACATGAGTAGGTTGAAATCCTATTAGTGAAATACTAGATGCGGTGAACTATAGAAAACTAATTAACTACTCATATAGTTTAGTACTTAAATGAATAAAACGCACTAAGATTGGTATGTATCATAGTATCCTCCCTGAACACACACCATCCACCCCCAAATATGAAAACACAAAATACTCGGCATCCAGTCCCTTTAGAATAATTGAAAAAAAAATTGTTGGGAGCTCTATAAATAGCTTCACTTCTGTCATTTTCTAAACCAATTATTGTTTACAGATCAAGGGGTTACAAAAGAATTTTCTACACAAGTGTTCAGATGCAGGAGAATTCACAAAATCAAGCATTGCTCATCCTTTCTACTTTTGGTACATCAAGGAACTCTTACCCCAATAATGCATATCCCCACCCACCCCAACTATCTGTGCAACCCCTATTCAACTTAGCTAATCATCCTTCCTTGATACATATGTCTACCACTAATTTTCATGCATAACAAAAAATTCCCCTCTTTGGTGAAAACAACCCTAATTGAACGCTTCTTACTAGCCAACAATTTATATTCATGTGGGAGCATTAGCACCACAAAAATCAAGAACCACTGCAATTCACTATTCATGCACAAATCCCACAATGAAACAAAACAATAGTCCATAGAATCCAGGAAAAGAAATAAAAGAAAAGATCAAGGGCAAGGGCAAGTTACTTCCATCAGAAAATACTTGCTCTGAACACCAAAAACATAAAAATTAAGGTATAGGGATAGAGAAAGAGAAAGATTTTACTTTCTAGGTATGTAGCCAACGAGGTAGAGAGCAAAAAATCATCAGGGGTAGCCCAAGACATTGAATTGTTTCTTGTGAGGCACCTGAAAAAGAAATCAACTTTGATGCAAAACCTCCTTCAAATTCAAAGGCACTAAAACCCCACAATCTCAAACACAAAATATTGCAAATTTTTGACCTCGACATACATTATCATTTCATTTTAGTTTCTCAAACCCCAAATTTAGACAAGTTAAAAAAATAAAGGCCCCTTTCTAATAAGAAAAAAGACAACCCCTTATTTTATTTTCAATTTTCTTGTAGTGGGAAAAAGGAAAAACAAAAAGAGAAAACACAATAATTAATTCCAAAGCATTTGACATTATAAAAAAGTTAGGTTAGACCTTTTCGATTGGTGACTTTGGTGAAAGAAAGGATGGTTCTTTGTTGTTCTCTTCTCTCTCTTTCTTCTTTGTATGGTATAGCGTAAGAGAGAGTTGAAAGTGACAGAAAAAACAAACGTGGAAAGAATTTGTCTTTATTGCTTCCTTTTTTTTTGCGGAAATTTATGTGAATCTAAATCAGCTAAAAATTTGATAAATATATAGCATAAAATAAGATTCTTTATAATGTCAAGTTTTTTTTTTTTTTTTTTTTTT